CAGGGATCGAACCGGCGACCTTCCGGTTACAGATACGCTTCCCAACCCCCTGAGCCACGGTCGCCCCGTGTTTGCATGTTCTCCCCATGTCTGGGTGGGTTCTCTCTGGATACTCTGGCTTCTTCCCGCAGTCCAAAGACATGCAGTTAGTGGTGTTAGGTGTGAACGTGAATGGTTGCCTGTCTCTCTGTGTTAGCCCTCCCATTGAGTGGCAACTTGTCCAATGTGTACCCCACCTCTCATCCTATGGTAGGTGGGATAGGCTCCATCCCCCCGGCGACTGTAATGAGAATAAGTGGAAAAGAATGGATGGATGACTTTTAAGTATTTATCAATGGAATTACGAAATTCTTATATGAGAAACATTTAAGACATTTAACATTAACATTTAATAGTTCCAAATAAAGGATAAAAATGTCAGACTCTGGTGATTAAAATGATTGAGCTCCAGTTTGTAAAGTGGTGAAATGATGTGTGTGGCTACAGGTGAGCGATCAGCTTGTGGAGATAAACGGGAACAGTACAGCCGGGATGACCCACAGCCAGGCCGTCGAGCAGATCCGCAGAGGAGGCCACCGCATCCACCTGGTCCTCAAGAGAGGAAATGGCTATGTGCCTGATTATGGTAAGGCAGCGTGGGAACATTTTAATTTTAAGAGTGGCAATACATGAGAGCAAAAGAGAAATTTGAGAGTGAAACATAGGCAACCTCGTAGCTTTTGCATGTTATATGTCTGCTATGGGTGTGTTTCCTGTTTTTCTATGGGACTGATTCCAACTAAAATGCTCTCTACTTTGTTTTTAACATTTTCTCTTCTGGTGTTTCCCACCTTTTAACCCATCACATCTGTGTTTCATTTGACTATGTTTGCTTTTAACACTCCCACACCACATTTCTCATTTGTCTGTGTTGGTTCTTCTTCCAAACACTGCTCTTCTTTCTGCTCCACTCCTTTGTTTCCTCTCCATTCCCTTCTTTCTCTCTCTTTCTCTCAGTGGAGCTCTCCAGCTTGTCTCTATGCATGACCAACTCCAAGCTAGGCGAGCCTTGCTTCTATGTCATTGGACGGACAGAGAATACGCGGTTGGTAATGGTTCCTGTTAGTTCTCCCATTTTCTGTCTCTCTACATCTCTCTACCAAACCAGCATTGCTGTCTTCATTAAGTAAACGACAGTACTTGGACTTGATTAGCAATTAACATTGTAGCAGAGTACAACATTATGCTTTATGTCTCTCAAACCTATGCTGAAGCAGTAATTGGACAGCTTGTAATTTGCCCATACACTGAACAGTTAAACAATGAAAGTTTCACTAAAATAGAAAAGCAGCTGTTATTACACAAGCTGACCTAAGGCACCTTTCTGGATTTCAGAAGTCTTTAATAACAGATTACATAATTCTCTTTACCATAGATGCTGTCATTCCTCTTTAACTGCCTGCTCAGTCTATATCTTTTGTCTCTGCCCACCACCCTAACCCTACACAATGTCTGTCCAGGCCATGAGCACCAAATCACCTCCTCCCCCCTCCTGCATCACCCCAAGAAGCAGGGTTTGGCTGCAGTAAACTCCACCGGACGAAGGGGGCGCAGTTCACAAGAGAAGAGGAGAAGCAGGTCAAAGGGAGGCGAGAGGGATGATGGGACGGGAAGGAGAAGAAGACATGTCTCAGGTGAAGGACAACGCTTGCGTTTACAAAGCCCCATGTCTGATCAGACAGAGAGGTTGAGGAGAGCCAGGGACAGGAGGAGGAGAGAAAAAGCTTCTCAGAGTTTACCTAGAGATGCCCTAAGAAACTATGATGATAGCGACACGGAAACGAGGGCAGAGAGGGGAACGAAAAGAGGAAAATGCAGGGGGAGTAGCAGGAGCAGGGAGAGGAAAAGCAGGAGCGAAGAGAGGGAGAGGATGTTAGAGAGAGAAGAGTTTATGAATCGGGACAAGCTGATGAGGGTGGGAGAAAGGAGGAAGGAGGTGGTGGAAACGTTTGAAAGTGAGAGCGAAGACAGTGACGGGGAAGTCATTTTACCAATTCCAAGTCTTACCCAAAAGCTTCCCAGGCCCAAAGAAATCTGGGAGGAGGAGAGCGATGACGACTGGGGTATGGCAGCAGAGTACAGAGAACTGAGGGAAGAAGGGAAGCCAGAGACTGAGTGGGAGAGGTCCTGGGGTGATGACAGCAGAGAAAGTAAAGACACAGGGCTGAATCGGTATGAAAAAGAGGACAACGTTGAACAGAGCAGCAGCGTCAAGCGGCCTTTACGAAGCGTGGGTGTGATTGATCCGGAGTCACAGAGAAAGCCCTTCTCCTTCCTCGCTTCCACACTGTCCATAGATCAGTTGGGGGATGATGAGTCAGACTCTGAAGGCAGCCACTCTGACGGAAGTGTGTCTGCTGCCAGTATCTCAACTCTTTCTTTGGTCACCACACAGCCAGGTCCTTGGTTCATGCCCAGCCAGCAGAGACTGACTCAGGTCATGAAGGAGAACAGGCAGGCGGACAGGGCGTGGGGGAAGAAGAAGAAGTGATGTCTCTTGACTTTTAACAGGAAACTGAGCATCCATTGTAACAGATTCTGTCAGATTCACACTGTTAGACCTCTACTTGTTTTCTGCAGCTACCCCCACTACCAACCTTTTTTTCTCTGAGTCACTTTGATATTTAAAGTAGTATGAAGTCATATTCTTTGTGCCTTTTTACAGCTGGTCTCTGGCTGTTAATATTTTAACTTGTAAATGACACCAACAAAACAAGATTATCCCTCTCCCAACAGCGTCATTGTCTTTTCTTCCTCCCCTTCGGCACTGTTGCCCTACTTAAGTTGCACTTTCGTCTTTTCTCACCTACCAGTGATTCACACTACATTAACAGTGTCCTCTCTCAAAGGGACAGTTCACCCTAAAATCAATTTTGGCATTTATTTCCTCCAGTTTGTAGTGCTTTTTGTCCATCTAGATTATTTTAGTGATACCTATTTGTGGTTGGTCTTCTTTTAAATGTATATATAGAACTAAATGGCACTCGTGTCTTTGAAAAACTCAGCAGCAGGGTCTCTTTTGAGAAATCGATACCCAGCTACTAAGAAAGAAAATGTTGGTGTAAGCAGTTTTCATGTAGGAAATGTTTTCTTTCTACAGTGCTGCACTAACCAACCATATCACTGTGTAGAAGGAGCGAGCATCTACCTGTAACAAGAAGCGTGCCCATGTGACAGAGTGCAAATGTTAATTTGTGTCCCCCTTCACTTGAGTTTTAGTGTTAGGTAGCTACATTTTTCTTTTGCATGGTAGATGTAGTTCAGTAGAAGCAAAGTAGTTTCAAATTCTTGAATAATCAGGCTTAAAAACCCTCTTAGTATCATTTTATTCCAACAAAGCACTACGCTGTTAGATTGCAGGATTACTTGTGGTTCTTCTAAAAGTAGAATGGGAGGCAGTTTTTCACTTCTTTCCACCATCACCAGCTGCTTGCTTATAGAGGATCACCAGATTTCTTTCTTAGTATTGTGAGCATCTCATCTTAACAGACACTGCTGCTAATTTAACAGCATAAATAGCACTGCAGGCCAGAGGAAAAACAATACATTTGATTTTCAGTCAAGCTGTCCCTTTAAGTATCCCCTACTGTTTAAACACAACATAGAAATTCACTTATACCTCATGAAGATATTGAGCAATAATAATGCAATCAGTAATCCATATCCACTGCGCCGCATCTATCTGGCCTGAGAGGAGTCAGTGTTTGTACAGCATCCTCTTTGTGTTGCCTCAACTTGTAATCTTGTTCTATATTTGATTGTGATAATGCAAATCCCTTTTAAAAGCCAACGGTATATTCTGTAAATATCTGTAGACAACAGAAAGCACTGTAAATACTATACTAAATGGAACCGGATTTATATTGAAATATATATATATATTATAATATGTCTAAACATTTGAATATATGCAGTATATATCTAGATATTACAAACAACAGCTAACTATTCATATTATTTATTATTGTGTGATGACAAATAATGTGAGAACTAGCTTTTGTGAAGGCTAAAAATGTAAACAGACTAAGAACTATATTGTAGCCGTCCTATTTATACATGAATGTTTTGTATTATGCTGCTTGGGTGTGGATTAGAATGCTCTGTGTCGTACCCTACTTCAGAAGTCAGCAAAAGATGCCAAAATATGCATCAGGTGCGTGCATATTTCAAGTACTGTTAAATATTGTGTATGTGGGGTCAGTACAAAACCACTATCTAGATTCTAAAGAGTGCTGTGCCCATCGTGCCACGTACTGTTGCCTTGGTAACATAAACCACTTTATCCTAACCACTGATTTTTCTTACTGTGAAAACCTTTGCTCTGAGGTCTCTCATACTAGAAGTGTGTGGGCTGTTTAGTAATTTAAGTCATGCCAAAAAAAGGCCCCACAAAAATATATTTAAAAGAAATAATAATAATCTGCAGAATCTGAGCTCGGTGTTGCATCTGAGGTGACAAATTAGCACATTGTTTTCTTTTGCTCTCTTTCTTTTTTTAAATATTCTGTTGAGGGGGAAAAAAACAGAAGCCAAGTTGAATGGATACTGTGAGATGTTATTTTTCTATGAAATTATCTTTTTTGATATACTCAGGTTTTCTTGATAAGCCATTAGGAGGAAAAGCTACAGTCACTTCACGCCATTTTCGTAAACACACGCAACGGATTAATGTTATTTAAATGTTAAAGCAATATTACGTTGGTTCTCTACGGTGGCATTTGGAGACACAGACTGTTACAGCTGTTATTTGTTAGCACTCCATAATCATTTAAAGGTTGATGCCATAAGTGACGTCATTCCTCCATTTGTACCCAGAGGAACAAAGCAGAGAAATAAAAAGCGTGGTGTTCTCTGTCTGTTTGCTGAAAGACATTACAGCAGCCAAACGGACATACTGTATTCTCCATCCAACGGCCATACAGTGTTGCTAGGTAGCCTATATATATAAGACCTTTTTATATATATATATATAAATGTTTGCCAATATTCTTTTTTTTTTTCATTTCCTAAGTATGGCTGAACTGTAAACACACTAATAAAAGTGCAAATAAACTGCTGAACCAATTTCCTCTGTGGTCATGATGGTGTTCCTTTCCTCGGTCCACATAATGGACAGCAGATGGCAGCAAAAACATAGACAACAATATATTTATGTGAAGTGGGATTTCACAAGATGAAGGTGTGTGTGAATGAGAGAGAAGGGGAAATGCAGCCTGATATTCAGATGCAATATGTGGGTGAGATGTCTGTTAATAAATCAGATGTAAGCTCTTTAACTAGTGGTGAATGAGATCCACGAAGAGGCTGAAATCTCAGCATTTCCCGCAGATCAATCATTCATCTAGCCTTGCTAGAGCATGCATTTTGCATACAGCCTCACTCCTCAGTGGAGTATTAACTGTACAGTGAGGCAACCTCACCTGTCCAAGCTGCTGTGCAGGGAGAGAAGCGGGTGAATTTACAGAGTCTTAGCTTAGATATGAGCACTTAAGCACTGACACTAAAAATAACAGCGCTCTGAGGCCTGTCTTTCTCTCGTGTTGTCCTAAGCCGCATCCTTCTGTTCAAATCAGCTCGGATGCAAAATGGAAAAAAGAAAAGAAAAAAAACGGCAGTAATAACAGCGCTGCTTTCACTTCAGCTGCAGGAGATTGTCTTATGGAAGTGGATTAAATCACGACTTCAAATATAGCATTTTCAATGTTATAACAGGGAGTTATTTGACACGACAGGGGCAATGTTTCACCTGCAAAGTGTTGCAGTGCACTGTATTGTTTTCGTACCTGAACACCAGGGATTCAGGCGCTCAACAGGGTTCCTGGAATACGTAAAGCTACAAAGACAGAAAATGAGATTCTCGCAGTATTTTCAATATAAAATGTCTTCTTTGCGCTTCTTTGTTGAAAGCTGCATTCCTAATTTCACTATCTGACAAATGTAATAGGACCTGTGAGATCTGAGGGAAAAAAATGAATGCCATTTTCTTTGTGCTGCACAGTGTGGAGGTATGAATAAAGGTGTCGCTTTTGGATGAAATGGGTCGTTAATATGCTGAAATATCCTGGTTTAGAGGTAATTAATTAGCTCTTAAGTTGCGCGCGTTTGTCTCAGAAGACTGTGAAATAATGACCAAGAATGACAGACGTATTATTTACCAGCTAGACTAGTCATTCAGATTCCTGCAGAAAACTATTAACCGACCCAAAGAAAATGTCTTTCTCTATCTACTGCAAAGAAAGAAAACCTTTTTGAAAGCATGTGCATAATACTGCTTAGAAATTTGAAAGCAGCGCACAGTTATTACAGTATAACACGGTGCTGGTCTGTGTGAAGGATGTCAGATTCTCATGTCACCCTCGTAAAATTGCTTTTGACCGTTTGATCTGAAACAAACACGAATAGTCCACTGGAGGTCATTTTATAGGCCACCGGCAGTGCTCCCCCTCATTTTCCTCAAAAAAAGGAGCAGATACTGGTCCTTCTGCTGCGTTGAAGTCCTTCTACGGCCCTGTCCAGCTCTCCTTATAGAATCAGAGAATTCCTGAATTCTCTCTTCCACAGTCTTGAGACTTAACTTAAGCTCTCCTAAGAGTGATAGCTGAAATCAGTCTTGTCCAGTAATTGTCAAGTAATTTTTTTTTGTATTTTTTTTGTATTTATTTATTTCTATATTTATTTTGTATGTATTTTGTGCAACTTTGTTTTGTCTCATTTATACCTAAAATATTGTCTTTGTTTTCTTAGAAGACACAATAAACAGTTTTAACGTGTTTTTGTGGATATTTTGTTGACTCCATTTACATATAGGAGATTTTCACATTCACAGTCAAATCCGTCAGGAGGGACGAAGAGAGAGGAATGTGCTGTGACCACCGTTCTTTTCCTTTTTGGGGGTTTGGCCTCACCAGTGCACATCTGGCACTTTCATTTCTATTACGGCAGGTGAAATGGATCCATAATATACTTCACAAGTGGACAGTTTGAAATCCATCAAGTTTAACTGACTGTGTGATGCGTTAATTTTTCTTTTATATTTTTTTAAGCAAAAGATAAACTTTCAGTTTACACTGTTTGGTAGCTCAACCTTTAATATATATTTTAATCAGTGCTTATTAGTTGTGGAAGTTGTGGAAATATTTAGCCATTGCACCGACTGTGTCATTTGTTTGTTGTGATCTTGTATGAAAATCAGCGCTCTGCAGCTTATACACTCAGGACACCTTAATTTATTAATTTGCGCCTTTTTTTAATAATTCGTGTTTGTTTTTGCCCACAAATCAACTGATTTTCACTCAAAGTCAGTACTTTATTGTCGACCGTTCGTCCTTTATTTTGAAAACCTTGCCCGGAAGTTACTTCCTTATTTTCGCCAGGTTGTCTTTGATGAGCTCCAGAGGAAAAGGCGCACGCAACGCTGCGGTTCAGACGCTCAAGGAGCGAAATCCTCTCTGTTTCTGCGCCACCTCACAGGAGACTCAGCGCTACTCTCCTGCATGGATTACCGACCTGCTGCCACTGAGAGTCAGATAAGTAGGAAAGGACGCTCCCTGTTCTTTTCGACCAATTTCAGATTTTTTTTACGCCAGCGGCAAAAACAAAAGTACAGTTTTAAGATTAGAAACAGTCATTAAGACTTTAGGACCTCAGAATCTTGCGGTTAGGTTTTAGCCTTTAAGAGGTGACAAGTTTTATCTTGAAGATCAGTATTTATGAGTGCATGACGAGGAGGTAAAGTGCATTTTTCTTGGATGAAAAGGCGAGACAGATACTGGGATCTAGTTTGATTTTTTGTTTTGTTTTGTTGTGTTTTTTGTTTTGTTGTGGTTTTTAATAACGGGATGTAGTTTTGGCGAACCAAAGAGGAGGATTCGGACTTCAAGAATGAACTTCGTAAACCACCTCTACTCACTCTCTGTGCTTTAAAGACACATCAAATCATGGGTTGAAAGCGACGATGACAGACTGCGGGGATATTCAACGTGGGAAGGAGCAGATTTTTCTGTGTTATGTAATGATTGACAGCGCCTGATAATTAGTGGTAGATCAAAACTAGCATATCCCCCCTCTCCCCCACCCCCTTTCCCCCTATATATCGATGAAAACATAAAGTGTTTTTTTGTTTTTGTTTTTTAATTAACCAAAAGCTGATGCCAGAGCTTTTAAAGTTAATGAGCAGTGTATGTCACAGGTCAGTGGATAAATTCATATTCTACTTATACTTTTTCTCTATCAATCATCGAAGCAAGTTCATTATCAAACTCTGAAAAGCTTAAATTACACCAGACCTATGCGTGTCACTCCCTCCGCCTGGAAGTCTGTTTTTAAACATTTCTTTTTAGTAAATTAACATTAATCATGACACCCCAAACTCTTTACCTGCTACGTGTCGATTTCAAAATGCCTGGGACTTCACGAACTCAGACACTCAACAGTGCCATGAACTTTTTTTTTAGCTTTAAATTCTCTTCTTGGCTTTGTGACGTTTTCAATGGCTACTAAGATGTTATAATGGTAAATTTTGCCCTCATGTTTGGGGATATGTAGTCGCTATGACATTCTCAATATCTTAATATCTGTGACTTCCTGTTTCTGAACATCTGAAGCCTATAGTTAATCTTCACCACAGCCTTTCTTGGTCCCTCCCTCCCCCCAACTCATCAGGGCTGGTGGGGAGGGTGGATCTCTGCCCCACGGGGTAGAACCTGTGGCTGGTGGTGGTCGTACCCCGAGAGGAAGGGCTCCCACCATGGATACCAGCCCAGAGAGCCCAAACCGGGCAGTGGAGTACCTCCTGGAGCTCAACAACATCATTGAGAGCCAGGCCAAGCTCCTGGAGACGCAGCGCAGGCGCATCGAGGAACTGGAGGGCCAGCTAGACCGGGTCAGCCAAGAGAACCAGGACCTGAGGCAGGAACGCAGCCCGCGTACCCCTGGAACGGACACCCCCGAGCAAAACTACAACCACAACCAGCCCCTGTCACTGCCCATCCATCATGGCAGCGGTGCTGGTGGCAGCGGTGGCAGCGGGGATGGTAGCACCTCAACAACTCAGGTGATATCCGGATCAGCTACAACTCCAGCGCCCGGCAGGGAGAGGAGGACCCACACCAGGCTGACGCGAGGTCTCTCCTGCGGCTCCTCCACCACAGACCGGCTTGAACGCACTGACAGCACAGACACCAACACCAGTTCCACCTTGCGCCGAAAGTAAGTTCACCTCGAATACACGGGCCTCTTCTGCTGGCTTTATCTTCCGCCTGTAATGAATGTCAATAATCTTGTCCAAGTGGCTCTAAATTATAGTAATGACCACAGTCTGCATGATAGCTGAGTGTGGCAGAACATTCATAGGCCAACATGATGACAGGCTGTACGAAGCATCAGATAATCCTCGCAGTAATGGGACTGAACCTAAGATGAAATGTGTTAATACACCACCATGAGGAAATATGCTAAGTGCTGGAGGATTATGAGTGGAGTGATAAGTGGTCAAGGTGTGTATTTCATCATGCTGTGTATGATTCTGCCTGCAGAGAGGATGATTTGTGCACTGATCTCCGTCTCAAATGTGAATCCTGTAGGAGTTGCATAGTAGTATGCTGAGGAAAACATGGGCCCAGGCAGGAGAGTCTTATTTTTTCATAAAGATCTGAACTTTCTAGGCAAGAGAAGCATTTCTGGATGAAAATCTACCCGCTGTTTGCTAAAAGTGTGTTTTTCTTTTCTTCCTCGCTCTGAACTGTCGGCTGCTTGGTCTCCAAGAGAGTTTTTTTCTCCCCCAAACTCAAGGCTGACCTGAAGTTAGAGTGCTCCAAAACACAGCTTTGGCAAACAGCAAGTGCATCTGTCCTTGCTTTTACTTAACCACGCACACACCCGCACGCACACACATGCAGATAGAGTCAGCTTTTGTTCTGGAAGCATTAAGCTTCGTGAGTAGGCAGCGATTCATGTGAAAAAGCTCACTGTGAAATAAATTGTTGCAGTCTTGGTAACAGAAGCCGTTTGTTCTTGTGCATATGTACTTCTCAACACGCAATCATCTTAGCAGTTATTACTGGATTTCGCTCACTGTCTGAGTTGTTATGGTCCCAATCCTCTTATCAATGATTGACTCAGATTTGACTAAATCCCTTATCGATTAGAGTTGTCTCTGGTCCCTTCTCCTCATCCCTAGGGGCGACTTAGTCATTAGACAGAAGCACATATTAGTTATTTATGTGGGTGTTAAATGCAGTGATGAATTGCAAATGTAGATCTTGCTGATTCTCCCTTGTTAATTGCCTGTAGCCATTGTAGCTGACTTTGGATCCAGGCTCAGACAAGCGTATCATATGAAGTGCCACATTTAATAAATAGTCACCCGCACAGCAGAGCCATATTGTGCTTGTCTGGCTGTGACTCAGTCTAGCCCAAAAGTGGCCTATTAGCTTAGGTCAGTGACAATACGCTCTGCTCTGATAGTGGATCAGATACAAACACGAATTTCTCTATCGTCAGTGCTTGTGACACGCTAAATATGGCTCGGATCAGAGGGAGAGACAGAAGGAAGATGTGGGAGAGGAAGGGGGAGAGGAAAAGGGATGACAAGGGGGAGGAAAGTGACTGAGCGACCTTACTCAGCATGCCTCAGTCTAAAAGAGAAAAAGGTGGAACACACACACTGATTTGCCATCTGTCAACGGAGTGTGTATAAGAGGGAGGGAGAGATGAAAAGGGGAGTCTGGGCAAGGCAAGGCAAGGCTCTGAGAGCTGCCTTTGTTTTGGTCCAATTAGTTTTTGGTCCTCCAGCAGGAGCCCTCCTCTCGTCCCTGTGTCTCTGTGTGGGTCACATAACCCACAATTTTGATCTCAGACAAAGAAACTGAATAAACGAACCCCCCGCCCGCCTCCACTTCTATTAGCCATGCGTGCAAGAAATGCATCAAAACAAAGTCCTCTCCTCTTCTTCCTCCTAGCGGCACACCATAAACAGCTGTCCCAAACGCGACCCTGTTTCATCCTTTTCCTGCTGTTAATGGCAGTGTGAACAATGTGAGTCTGAGGCCTTGCGGTGAAATGATGTTTGACGTGAAGTCCCTTCTCCAAGAAGGGTTGAGGGCACTGCCACAGCTCGCTGTGCGGCGGTTATTTTGGGAGACATCTGCAAATGTATTTCGTATTACCCTCCGCATGTATGTGTATGCGAACGAGTGCATGTTTATACAGTACACGTGCTAGTGTAAGTGCACAAAAATGTGTGAAAGAGGGAGGAAGACAGACAATTAGTGTGACTGGAGTATAATTACCACTGGCCCAGAGGTGACAACTGCTGCTGCGCATGTGTGCGTCTCCTCGGTGTGTCTTTCCTGCGAGTGCGTATGCCCGCTTTGCAGGACATCACCTGGGATGTCCTTTATAATAAAGCTGATGCAACCCTGGTGCTGACAATAGAGCCTGTCATGTCGTGAAGATGTCGCAGTTCATTGTGTGGGTGAGAGATTGTGTCCTTGTTTATGTGCTACGCGGATGTAAGTGTGCTCAAACAGCTCATAGGATGACAGGCAGGAGGTCTTGGTGACAACCCCAGTAGTGCTCATACTCTTAGCAGTTTTATTATGTAATGGCAAAAAAAAAAAAAAGATCTGCGCTATCTTTCTTCTCTTCACTCCACTTTGACTGTCACACTGGGAGAATTCAGAAGCTCCAAAGAGCCCCGTGAAGGTGCTCGAGTCTCCGTGCGTCTCTTTATTCCATCATCCCTCCATCTATCTCCCCTCTCCACGCATGCCATCGACGGCATGTTCACTACTCCCTCGGAAATTGACGTTAATTCCTCTGGGAGAATATGGAGAACGATAATGGCCTTTCATTTCAGAAGGAGCTCAATTTTGCTAATTTTACGTGGCTCTACTACACATAAGCCATCCCCTTTCACAACCCCCACTCCACCCCTTCTCTCACTCTTCGTTTCTAACTCTCTCTCTCTCACATACCCACGTACATACACTCACTCTCTCCCCCTCGCTGTTTCTGTTTCCCACTGCTGCAGATATGACTCAGAGAAGCAGCAGAAATTACTTTTGTGCTGTTCTCCTTCTCTTCCCCTCTGTGCTCATCTGCCTTTTTTTTTTCCCCTTGCATTTAACTGAAGCACGGTTATTGTTCCTGATTGAATTTTCATTCTTGAGGCTAAAATCAAGCTCATAATGTGTATTCATTTGAGCCTTTTGGCTTAAATTTTACATCCTATGATAACAAAGATAGCACAGATACAACTGGCCCCGGGCAAATGTGTGGGTAAGCTCGGCTGAGCCTGTACTGACCTTCTCGAAACATGCCGTGTGAAGTGATGGGAGGTAATCTATTCTCTCTGGATCTGGCATGACTTTCTAGAAAAATAATACAGTGAAGCTGCAGCTGTTTATGCTGTTTATCTCACAAGAACCCAATCGTAGACCTGTTAATATTTTTGGTTTCGGGACTGAATAATGTTGCCGGGAATTAAAATATCGTAATGGTGCTAATGATTACAGTGATGGAGTTTAGCTTGATGTAAATTTAAATGATGGATGTGTGTGTGCGTGTGTGTGTGTATGTGGGAGGCAACTGTATGTGGGTGGTGTTTGTTGCTTTCTACTTGCCATTTCTGAGTGCAGTGAGTGTTCATGGCTGCATACATGCACGCGAAGAAAAAGTCATCGTTTTGTTCATTTATATTTAGCTATGCATTAGTCTGGATTCACGAAAATGCATGTTTTGTTTTAAATATCACCAGACCAATTAGAAACACGCACCTGTGCTTCATCTCCAGTGTAGACTGGCCGCTGAACCTGCCTCTTTCTGCATATATTCTATATAATTAAGATAAAACACACAGATTTAGCTTCTGTTTTTGTTATCGGGCTAGAGATTATATGTAAACGCTGATGAATTCGCAGGTTTGATGAGGCAGTTATCTTCACATGTTATAGATAGGCTTTATGACAGAATGAAAATGATAAAATTATGGCTGTAATATGTTCAAGTTAATTGTCTCAAGTAGTATGTTGTTGTGCTTCTAGGCACAAACCCATGCCGCTTTCATTCAAACAACATCCCTTCCCAGTTTCATTCCTCTTATAGCTGCATGTATCATCAGACCCGACTTTCTTGAAATGGCGAGGAGACAAATAAGCAGCTGTGATATAAAGATTTCCACAGGAAGTGAAATGTGCATGCGAGTTGCTGTGGAAACCGTAAAGCTGTCCTCAAGACAGTTGCGATATTGCATTCCTGTCCCTCCCTCCCTCCTGCTCCCCTCACCTGTATCTTGATCCTGACATACCCCCCTCCCTTTTCCGTCCTCATGTGTTTGGAGCAGCCACCATTGCTTTGTTTGCTGAGGGCAGCTGTGTGCAGATTGCATCTTAACAGCACCAAGTGTACTGTAAATTAGCGCAGAGATTATGGGTCTTGCTTTGTCATTAGTGAGGAGGACAGAGTGCTAAGCTGCTGTCCAGTCATCACTGGGGATCTAATTATGAACCCCTCGCTATAGTATCAAGAGTTTTGCACATCATCGCTCTTTCTATCATTTAAACTGGAGCTTGTTTCGCTAAGATTAATTAGACTGGTCGGTAAGGGTAGTTAGAAGTTAGAAAGTTAGAAAGTTTCACAAAAATGAAGACTTAACTCATTTTAAGACAAAAAACAATTTGATCCTTACCTCCCATTTTTGCCATTGTAACAATAAGCAGTGCCTCCATTTAACAGTAGCATTTAAAATAATAAAGGAGAGAAAAGAACATGGCTCATAGTTTGCTAAGAATAATAAACATTGAAAGCACTAATTTATTATGAAGCCAGTGTCATACAGAGATTAGTCAACTTTGATTGGATTGATTGATTTTGATTTAGGACTTCAGCTGAATCCACAGGGAAAGAGATTGAATTATAAGGTCTTCCCATGTTTTCCACCTGTTTCTCCCAGGGTCACTCAGTTGGACATTTAATTTATTTATTTAACTTTATTTACTCATAATTCCCTGTACCATGCTGCTACTTGAGGTAGTCAAGGTCTGAAGTGCTTTGTGCAGTGGATGAATTCAGACATTTATCCTAAGTTGGCCTATTTGATCTAATCTGTAGTCAAAATCGCCTCCAATCTGCGCGTACTGCCCCCAGACTCAGCATCTGACCAACACAGGCGTGATTCCCAAGTCTTTTCTCAGCCAGGACTTTAAGCA